AAATTAATCCCCACATAGGATATGGATCCTGGACAGCCCAGAAAGTTCATTAAAGTAACTGCCATCACAAGGAGTAGCACTTTGGGTTCTTTTGTTCTTTGCCCCTGATGAGACTATTTGGTGGGGGAGCTGACTTTATGGACATTGTTTTCATTTTGAGTTTGAGTTTTTTTCGCTTGTTTTTGTACCAGTCCTGGGGCTTGAACCCAAGGCCTGGGGTCTGTCCCTAAGCTTTTATGCTCAAGGCGACCCCTGAAGCCACACCTCCATTCTCAGCTTTCTCAGTGATTCATTGAAGATGAGAATCTCACAAACCTTCCTGCCCAGACTGGCTTTGAACTTTGATCCTCAGATCTCAGCCTCCGGAGTCGCTAAACTGGTGGCCAAAACGAGTAGTGAAGCCAGGAGCCTCCATTGTGGGTTTCGCTCTGTCTGTCTGTCTGTCCTCAATAAATCATCGATCTGTCTGTCCTCAATAAATCATCACAATCACCATTTCGAGAAATGGAGGACAGGGAATTTGTTTACAAAGCCATAATCTGGAAGGCCTTAGCTAAGAGACTGCAAAGCTCAAACACGTTTCCCAGACGCTGGCTTCCACTCCTGGCCCAACACTGCCCTGAGCCACGCAGATCACATGGGAAGCAAAGCCATCCAAACACAGGCTCCCATGAGGCCCATGGAAAACAGCCAAGAGCCAGCAGGGTGACAGAGGGCAGCCTGTCCATCTAGCAGGAAGGGAAATGAGGAAAGAAATGGAAGAGCCAAGCCCAGGAGGCAGCAGGTCAGAGGATAGAGACCGGAGGCCTCACAGGCAGCAATTCAGGGGAGGCGCAGCATGGGTGGAGGGAGAGCTTGGGTACAGCTCCTCAGATCCAGAGGTGGAGGCCTCAGCGGAGGTGTCTGGGGCGCACAGGACTGACAGTGCCACGTCAAGAGGAGAGACACGCGGGGCCTCCCGACAGCCTGCAAGTAGCATTAGACAGCTCAGAATGGGAAGTGATGCAGGTGCAATGCGGGAGGGGCCAGCTCAGCTCCTCAGCCCCCACCCCACCTGGCCTTGATTCAGTACTTCATGGAAGAACGGTCATGCCTTCCCTTTGGGGTCCATGTCCCCCCAGGACTGACAGCTCCAGGGGCAGAGACACAGCAGGTGTCTGAGAGAGGAAGGAAAAGAAGGGAAAAGGGATAAAGAGGAAGAGGATGAAGTACTGCAGGCGTACGAAGAGATAAAGAAAAAAAAACTGGGGTTTGGGGCAGTGTCTCATGCCTGTAATCCTAGCTCCTCAGGAGGCTGAGATTGGGAGGCTTGCAGCTCGAGGTCAGCCCTGGCAGTCTTTGAGACTCCACCTCCAATTAACTAGCAAAAGGCAGAGCTAGAGGCATGGCTCGAGTGGTAGAGCACCTACTATGAACCAGAAAGGTGAACGAGAGCATGAGGCCCTGAGTTCAAACCCTGGTACTGGGTGAGGGGGGAAAGATGGCTGGCCTGTCTAGCAGAGGATTTCAGTGAAATCGCCGGTCCTGTTCTTCATGCCCCAGGACACCCTACAAGCATGGGGCTGAGGAGTCACCATTGGGTTTCTCGCCTACCTCCTGACAGCCCTCCCCTCCCTTGTCTCTTGGCAAGGACTTGTGTCTTAAGCTAGGCCCAGACAGCTAGGAAGTGGCAGAGCTGAGCATTAGAACCGTACTCCAGTGTAGCTCACGAAACCTTCCTGAAGCTTCGTGTCGTGTTGATCTGCTGAAAGTTGCCCGAATTCCCCCAGTGCTTGTACTTCTGCCATTCGCCCTCAAAAGTCAAAACCTCACACCACCGTTTCTAAGACATCCCAGAGCTTCAGTTTCTCTATGACCACGGTTCTAGGCTGCCTCTCATTGCAGCTGCCAGCCCTGGTGGACAGCACTGCATTCTGCATTGCTTCCAGGTCACCCAGGTACCTCGGCAGGCCCACACTCCCTTACCCAAGTCTGCTCTGCCATCCTGTTCTCTCCTTCTGATGGGCAGGTCAGATATGGGCGCCCAAGCTGGAAATGGTTGTAATTCCTTTGACTCCTCGCTTGTCTCCTGAGTCAGGCCTTGATTCCCCTTCTGAAATGACTGTCACTTTAGCCCCTCTTTCCCCTGCCACCGCCTGTGGCCTGGTACTTTCTCTGTCTCTGTCTCTCTGCCATCACAGAACTGGTTACCCAGAGAACAGATTCCCAAGCACCCCAGTTCACCTCTCCCTGACCCAGTGTGCTCCAGTAGAGCTAATCGCTGCCACATTTATCCACCTCCGATTGATGCTGTGACAATAACACAGTTAATGGCTTCAAATAGGACAAGTTGGTATTCTCTTACAGTTCTGGGGTCCGGAAGGCTGAAATGCATCTTTTGAGGCTAAAGCCAAGCTGTCACAAGGATCCTCTTTCTAGAAGTTCTAGCGAGAACCTATTTCTTTCCCATTTCCAGTTTCTAGGGGCTGCCTGGTTCCCTTGGACGGTGGCTGCTTCCCTCCCTTTCTCTGCTCCTGACATCACAACTTTCTCTGGATGATCCTTGTGGATCATCTTATGGGTTCCCCCACATCTCAAGATCCTTCAGTTAATCCACATCCGCAGTTCCTGAGACAGCAGGTTCAGGGGGCAGGGATGGAGAGACGTTTAGGAGGGCCCTCATCCCCCCACCTTGTTGTCATGGTTGGGCACTAGGCAAGGCGTTGTGCAAAACTGGGACGTAACCAGAAGATACGGTCCTGCCCTTCAAGAAGCTACGAGTTCAAGGGCAGATGACTTTCAAGTCAAGTCTGCGTGCTCTAAGGATCTTGAAAGCACACAGCACCATGGGGACTGCCCCTCTTCCAAATAAGGCCCACTTACTCAGCAGAAGCCCGATCAGACATATGACCGGTGCTCTGGCCCATCTGTGCAAAGTTCCTCTGCCTCTCCTTGTGCTTTTGACCCGATGCTGGGACTCGCAGTGCTTACCCCCTGCTCCCCTGGCACAGCTCAGCAGGCCGGCATGTCTTACTGATCATTAGCTCCTGGAAGGTAAAGCTGGCTACTACCTTTGGAACCCTCCTACAGCTAGAATCTTCCCTGGTCCCATGCTTTGACCAGATTCTCCACATACTATGCGGCCCACAAGCTCCCCAGGGCGACAGGCTAGAGCTCAAATGCTGTGGAGGAGAGAGAACGGACACAAAGTGAGCCACGCAAAGCTGCTGCCGTGAGAGCACAGGGAAGATCTCTGAAAACAGGAAAGCAGCATGAAGTGCACTGAGGGTCCAGTCCCCAGGCCTCAGGTATCCACAGCCCAAGTGGCTTCTCCCTATGCGTGACTTGAATCACACTACTGAGCCCGACTGAGCCAGCAGCACCTGCTCCGGCCCAGCCCAGCAGCAAGATTTTCCAAGCTAGAGTGTGTCAGCCAACAGACTTAAGTGCAGAGGGATTTCCTGATGCGCTTGACTGGAAGGTACAAATCCACCTTTAATGACAGCAGACCACTAACTGTTCAGAAGAACTGATCTACCCAATGAGATGAAGTAGTCTAGCGGGAAGTGTAGCATGAGACCCTATATAGGGTCCCAGTGTTAGTCAACTTTCCATTCCTGTAACAAATACGAGACACATCACTGTCAAGAAGGCAGCTTCAGTTAGTTCCGTTTTGGAAGTTTTAGTCTATAAATGACTGTTCCTGATGCTTTAGGCTTGTGGAGACACATCATGGAAGAAGAGGTCATTCACTCCACAAGGGCGTAAGAAAGGAAGCAGGAAGTCCCATAAGCCCCTAATGACCTAAACAGCTCCTTCTAGGCTCTGGCTATTAAAGGATCCAATACCTCCCGATTGCTCCAAAAACTGAGGACCATGCCTTTAATACACAAGCCCACACTGTAGAACCCTGAGAAGTGGACTTTTCAAGATAATTTATCAAGAAATGGATTTTTCAAGCCTCTTGGCTTACTCATCTTCCAATCATCTGTTAAGTTTTATCTAGGTAAACAGAAGCAGGATAAAAATCCTGGTTTCAAGGTTAAAGAGATTGAATCTATAAGACTTCCTCTAGTAAAGGCCTCAGCAGAACACCCCCTTCTGGTTAGTTTCATAAAGCAGCAGGTGGGTCAAAGTCAAGGTCATCTACTCCTGTGACTTCCGGTTCCTTAGGTCCCTGAATCTTTTTGCACATAAAGAAAACTTTTGAGGATTTTGCAAGGTCTCCAACACTTTCCACTTGCATTCAGTTTATACCTGGTATTTCTATTTTCAATTAGGGAGAAACCCCATCCAAATCACCTTCTCCTTTCCCTGGGAATGGCCAGCTGGCCACGCCCACTTCCCAGAATCCATTGCTGGCACCTCTGGATCAACCAATCAGTTCCACTTCCACTTTGTTCTCAGGGATTGAGCAGTGCAGTCTCCTGAAACAAGGGTTTAAAATCAATTTGCTGGGCTGGGAAGGTGGCTCAGTGGTAGAGCGCTTGCCTTGCATGCCTGAGGCCCTGGGTTCGATTCCTCAGCACCACATAAGCAAAGGAAAAAAAAAGCCGGAAGTGGCGCTGTGGCTCAAGTAGTAGAGCACTAGCCTTGAGCTGAAGAGCTGAGGGACAGCGCCCAGGCCCAGAGTTCAGGCCCCATGACTGGACCCCCTCCCCCAAGAAAAAAAAAAGATAAAGTCAATTTGCTAAGTATGTGTTTTAGTGAGCTAAGAATGGTTTAAGACCATAGATCTTGCAAACTGCAGCTTCTATCCAATCTAAACACCGCTCCCTGAGGAGTTGACATCAGCCAGAGCTTCAAACAAAGGAGAATTCAGTGACATTTCCAGAACTCTGCATGGTAGGTATATGCCTACAGACCAAGCGATGCTAAGCTAGGCAGCAGCCAAGAGAACTTGACAGACCAAGCTATCGAGTGGAAGTTCTATCACTGGGCAACATACTTGGGAATGCTACTGCTTTGTCACTGACAGAACAGCCAACTCCCCCTTACCACAAGCCCTTTCTCCTGCCAAGTATTGTCATCTGCCACACTGTGCCAGCAAAGGATGCCCATGGAGACATGTGTCTTTGCACTCTTCTTACGATGCGTTGAGATCCAGTACACTTACGTGTTCCTGGAAAGCCTGCTCTCTAAGATGTAGGGCTGGGTCTGAGGACATGATCTATGCTACCCAGAAAAACCACAGACTCTTTTAAGTGTCCATAGCCGAGCCTAAGGGCAGGCACAGAGTGCCTTCCAACTGGAGGACATAACGAGGTGGGATGTACCTCGTCTTAACAGAATTCCCCTAAAGTAAACCTGGAGGTTGGGGAAATGGGGCCAAAGATCATTTCCCAAATGGGAGGTAGGAGTCAACGAAGGCAGGGCTTGCGCGTGTAGTAGTGAATGCACTCCTGTGATTTGGTGTGTGCAGGGCCTGGATGTAATATTGGGATGCCTTGGTTGTGTAAAGTGCTTCTCGCACTGGTGGCTCTCCAGAGTGGCACAGTGGGACCGTTGCACCAAGGTGACAGGCCGCAGGTGGAAGGCTCATCAGAAGAAGCAAGGCAATCCTAAGTCAGCTCTGCTGACCATGAAGAGGACGATTTCCAGGCGGGGACAAAACCTTCTAGCATAAAATAGTGCAGTCGATTTCAGACTCAGGGCTTCTTGGCTGCTTAAATCCAACCAGAGGCAACTTGGATGTTGATGAGCCACTGTCTACGACCACCCCAAAGCCACCCACCCAGCTTTCTGCCTGCTGCATGTGTGGCCTGCATAATTTACCACTCTGCAGTTTTGGTGGAAGTGTCATTTCCTTTGGGGGTTTTTATCGGTGTCCGGACCTGGGCCTGAGCACTGTCCCTTTGCTTTCACTCAAGGCTGACACTCTTTACCACTTGAGTCACAGCTCCACTTTTGGCTTTCTGCTGGTTAATTGGAGATAAGCATCTCACAGACTTTACTGTCCCGGCTGGCTTCACATTGGGAGCTTCAGATCTTAGCATCTGGAATAGCTAGGGTTACAACTAGGACTACTGATTACAAGCAAAAGTGCCCAGCCTGGGATTAGCTCTTTAACAATACTTTCATACATTAACTTTCACACCAATATCTTACTGAGAAAAATCCGCCAAAGAGCACCAAGATGGCAGAGACATGAGCATCGACTTGCATTTCCCTGCTGTCCTTGTAGCTTTTGGAGGCATCTCACACTGACAAAAAGCAGAGGTTCCAACTCCATTACATTTCTACACACACACACACACACACACACACACACACACACGTTTCTTATCCTATCAGCATCTCACACTGACAAAAAGCAGAGGTTCCAACTCCATTACATTTCTACACACACACACACACACACACACACACACACACACACACACACACGTTTCTTATCCTATCAGATTAACTCAAAAATATCAAAATGCCTAGTTTAAAAATAATTCACTACAATGAATTATAGGTTGAAGGCCAACTACCCCATTTCTAATTATCAATCTTAATAAAGAGTATTTAAACTAGATTTATGGTGCCATATTAATAGAACATTAAGGATAAAATTGGGCACGTGAACATTCCGTGATTTGCAAATGTCTCTCAAAATCACACCGCAGCAGATGCAAACCTTATCCCCACCCCACCCCACCCCCACCCCAAACACCATCCTGACTCAAGGGAATTTTCTACATAGTTAGCAAAAAACTGTTTTGCCAGCTGTACGATCACACATCTATTGTTCCTTCATGATGTATTGATGTAAATTAGGTTTACACCCTCAAATTCTGGCCTATTCAGACCTAGAACTACCCAACTGAGTTGTTACCCGTAATTCATGATACTTAAAAAAAAAAAAAAAAAACAGGCTGGGAAGGTGGCTCAGTGGTAGAGCTCTTGCCTTGCATGCATGAGGCCCTGGGTTCGATTCCTCAGCACCACATAAGCAAAAAGGAAAAAAAAAGCCGGAAGTGGTGCTGTGGCTCAAGTGGTAGAGCACTAGCCTTGAGCTGAAGAGCTGAGGGACAGCGTCCAGGCCCAGAGTTCAGGCCCCACGACCGGACCCAAAAAAAAAAACAGATCCCTGTTGAATTTGAAATGGGGATACAAGTCAACTTAACCATCTGACACGAGCATTTAACATCTCTAGGCCCTTTGAATTTAGAAATAAAAGGAAATGCAGTACAGTACACAAACAATAAAACAATCTCCAAATTATTAAAAAGGCATTTTATTATAAATACATTTTAGTTGTAGCAGTAAAATACATTTTGTGTTACCATGAAACTTTGAAAACAAATGAACTTCACTGAGACAAGGATCACACCGTAGGAACTGTAGACCCCCAGGCTGAAAACTTGAACAAAAGTAACTAAAGTCATACCAAAAACTAAGTTAGAAAAGATGAAGACAAAGAAAGAAGAAAAACAAAAACTCTAGAGAGTGGCTTTGGGGTTACTTTAGGGTACAGTCATTTTTACTTTTAAGAATAAACTCTTCAGGTATCAGAGCCTCTCTGATGAGGTATCATTTACTGCAAAGGAAAATAGAATAACTGCTATCACTCTGCCATAAGTTATGCTTCATTAGGTGGCTGTGCAGCTGGTATCTGGAAGAGACAGGAACTCACAGCTCAGTTTTATACAGCCTCCCCCAAGGCAGGCTTTCCAAAAATAAGACCCAGTATGAATTCGCTAAGTAACTGATGCTGAAAAAAAAGTTAGCTGATCACATTTAGTTAAGAATTATAGTTTTGAAGCATTAAAAAAAAATCCTGCGTCATGACTAACAGGACCCTTTAATAATAATGCAAAGCCATTATCTTTATAATTTAGAGATGCATTTGAATCACCATATTTAGCTAGGATACAACTAACTACTTATAACCAGTACCTTCATGAGTTTTCAAGGACCAGGTCAGATGACTGGCACAGAAATCAGCTACAGTACGTGATGTACACGCCATATACATGGGTTTCTAGGAGATATGTGAACATCCGGGCCCCTTCCTCCAGAAGCCGAGGGTGCTGAGAACCTTCTCCGGTGTCACCCACCGACACTCTAGCACTTTTATCTGCACAGAAGAGCCCCCTGACCTGCCTGGAGCTAGAAAGAGGTCTTTGCATACAGGTATCCCGCAGGGCAAAGTGCAACTAAACCAAAGCTCCCCCTCCGTGGGGACTGCAGCAAGGAGCCTGTGCTGAGCACACACGCAGCCCTCACCCCCTCACCGAAGGGGACGGCGCCTAGGAGCAGGAAGGACTGGGTTTTGAGGATTCCAAAGCCATGCACCATATGATGGCCTGAGTTACTTCTATGCCTAACTCTTTCTACATTACACTTAAAAGCGTTCCCTTGCTAGTATCTCAGTAAATTCAAAGTCAAACTAAAAAACCAGAATCTGAGCCCAATCCCCCCAACATGCAGTCCAGGGTGAATATTTGAAATAACAACACCAATACACAAATGTAAAAATACCCAAAGACATTATCAGATTTAGTATGCTGGAGACCATTTCACGCTCCAAAGCAACTTGTGCATACGTGTCATGCTGTGTAGGTGGAAGATCCCCCTAGACTGTTTCCCAAACATAATAATCACAACTACTTCCTGCCGCCACCAACACCTCAGGCTGCCCCGAACACCTGCGGGCATGGCAGAGAATCAAAATAACTTCTGTTAACCTGAGAAACACATAATTTGAAAAGCAAATCCTTTGCCTTTATCCCTCCCTCCCCCCGCAAAAAAAAACCAACAAACAAAAACCCCTTCCCCATTAAAAATTACAGAATACATTATTTGGGGAGTATAGACTTTTTGAAGCTCCAGGTCACTGTCTTATTAGGACAGGGACTCCTGTAAAAGTGCCTCGAAAAATGCACAGTGCATTCTCGTGACATTCGGATGGCTTCTTTCCACAATTCTCACCTCTACACACAGGGATCAAGGTTAGCTATGTGGCAATGAACGCAGAGCACCACACCAAAGCTGGGCAGCTGTGGCCACAAAACCTAACAAATGCACCCCAGAACTGAAAGGGCTTTTCTTCTCCACTGAAGATCAGCACAGACCCCACTAGAGGAAGAGGGGGGAGGGGGGCAGCCAAGCCAAAGGTAAAAGCGCATTCTCCACGCATGTACCACTCATGGCATCCGAATGATTAAAAATGATCCAAGAGATCAGTTGTTTACACCAAGTAAATAATGCATCATGGGAAAGACCTTCTACTTTCTCTAGACCAATGATCCTCCAAGTGTGGCTCCTGGACCAGGCAGCCCCAGGCAGAACCGAGACTCTAGCCAAGAACCAGGAGCTCTGGGGATAGATCCAGCAAAAGTCTGTACAGTCAGCTAAGTTCAAGCTGGCTCAAGTTTGAGAAGCATTTGAAATTTTCTTCATCCCTCTCACTATTCTAAAAATCTTGTAAGAGGGCAGATTTGTAAATCAGATGCTACTCTGTGTTGAAAACTATGTCACTGGCCACCCTCTCCTTTCCTTGTCAACATTTTTTACAAAGTGTTGCATGAAAACAAGTATTCCATAAAAATCAACAATTGCTTAAAAGGTAATAATATTCATTTCTCCTCCTATACACATTCTAAGGCAGGCAATCGCATGCTAGTATGCAAAATAAAATACAGAAGAGACCTCATCTCTGAGGTAGAAATAGTTAAAAAGACTCCCCAAGAACTTAATGAAAATTTTGTTAAGATTGTTTAACAAACTCATAGAATTATATAAAACTTACTATGCTTTATACTTAATATTTGTATCAAAATAAAATCTCTCTGTTGAACAAATTGCAAATAAAGTCTGGCCTACTACTCTGATTGCTGACACTCTATGTATATGAACATCTCTGGGCTTTCTTAGCTCTCCAGTTTAGAAGTTTCACACTCCCACAGCATCGCTGGGTCTGGGACCTAAGCTCAGTTCACATTTCTACGTCGAGCTTCTCCAGATTTCTATGTCTAGATCAGGTACCTCCCTTCCAAAACATCTAGGAACTCTGACAACTGCATCTGAAAGTTCACTCCAAAGTAGGTTTTTGTTTTAACAGGTTCAGAATTTCTAAATGCTACATTAAAAATTTTAAATGTTTCACCTGATAGTCTAGTTTAAAGGAACATCATGTCACTTTCTGAATGTGTTTTA